TAAAAATACTTGACATTTCTGTTAACTGTCAGACTAGTTGTTTTCCCCATGGCACACTGCAATTAATTTATTTTGCTATGTAATGAAAGTTGAATTTGGAGCACGTTGGGAATGATTGAAATCGATTTTACTGGAAAACGGCACATCCTAGTGAAATTTAACAAGAGGACCTTTTTTATGTTAAATACTTCAAATTTCAATATTTTCGAGTCAGGAACTAGAAAAAATTGACTACAAAAAAGATATGATTAAATTTGTCCCTGGGTCCTGCATTTTCTCACGCCCCTGTAGCAAATTTTGAAATGTATTTTATGAGACTTATTAAGCACGTCAAGGTTAATATCTCACCAAAATTTCGTGACTTAATGTCGAACCGTTTGGATGTTACGCATTAAAAACTGTTTCCGAGGTTACCCCTTTAGGAGAGCGTAGCTCCCTTAGGAGCCGCCACTGACAAAAATTGTACTAAAGTTTTCGTCATTTTTCGACTTGTTTTACAAGCTCAGAAATTTTGAATACTTATTTCAGTTACACCTTGTATAGGTAAGAATTGAAAAGGCGGAGTAAGCTATCACTGAAACCATACAGTTCAAACTTACGTAGCAATATACTATGATTAACCTTGTCAAAGGCCTTTAAGAAGTCTGTGTAAATGACATCAACTTGCCCTTTGTCATCAACATCAAAAATTATATCAAATCAAAAATAATCAAATTATATAATGTACCCCCTAACTAAACTTTATGAACAACGCAATCACTCTCTTTCTGTGACGACTTTTTTGTGTTTGAAGCGTAGTTGATTCGTTTCATTCATTTTAGTGTTAATACTTAAAAACACTCATTTAAGAACTCTGCTTATTTGATGGGCAGATAAACATTTTTTATTTGCGCATCATTCACGCAAGCAGCATCTAATCAGTCGTTAGCACCGTGTGAAATTGTTTATTTTTACCTTACTAAAAGCTTACCGATAGTAGTAGGAACTGCTATTTACAAAGCCAATTAAAAAGTGATTTCGGAACTTTTACCATTCATACCTTATCTGGGCGACTACAAACAACAAAGCTATTGTTTTACCGTGTGCAAACGCGTGTGCAAAATGATACCAAAGATTTATATTTAATTTATAATGCATATCATTTTATTTTGCATGTTTATGATTAAGTTACAACGCACAAAGTTGCTTTTTCCTTATCATTTATAAGTATAAGGAGACCCAGACTGTTAGTTGGCCCTCATTACAGGAAAAAGGAAAGAACAAATGATAAATGGTAAACTGCTAGCGCGGATCTTTAGGAAATTATGTTAACTTGAAATTTCACTTGGTAAATTTCGTCATAGAAATTATTTTTCCAATTTCATATTTTTATTTTTGCAACTTTTATTAAAAAAGTGTTTTCCCCTTCCCGTACAAAAGATATACAGGCTGTTACAAATTCGTTTCTCACTACAGGGTTCTCGGAAACGGTAGAGAGGTACGAAGTAGCTTAAATGGGGGCAAAGTTGCGTAATCAGGGGACCAACATTATGCCTCAAAAAAATTTACTACTAGATTCGTTAAAAAAATGAATAACTCGTAATGAAAAAGTAAATATGAATTTGTATTTTGAAAAAGCTTGAAAAGATTCAAAATTTGCTGTACGATATCCATAACAATATTTTGTAAACATCCCCATTTGCGGTTTATTACTTGCTCTTTTCTATTCCCTATAATGGCGGTCTTCTAGTTCACAACACATATTATTCTGTAAAATATTATTAATATTAAAAAAGGGAGTATGAATTATCACCCTGTACTTAATTCATAATTTTGCCAAATGTTTTCAAACACTTATTTGATAAGTTATGTTTTTCCTAACATTGATAACTTTATATCGATACTGATTTACAAGGCCGGTCTATCAATGATTAGTTTTGCATATTTCTTGACAAAGGGTACCGAAATTATATTATTTACATATTTACAAACGCCTGGTTTGCTATTGATTTTATTTGTTTTATTGAAATAGGTTTTGAATATAACCAGTTACCTACCCGGGGTACTCCAGGACTTAGTTATGGGGCCCCTATTACTTGACGTATTTGTAAATGACATTGTTGACGATATAATGACTTAAATAAAATTTATAATTCGAAACAGGATAAATAACCTCATCACAACTTGATGATGACAGTTATTGTAAAATAGATGTTATTGTTGGTATTGTTACCTTTTCTACATAGGTCATCGCAAAGCAGTTATCTCGACAACAGCCGGGTCATACGTCAGAAATTAAGAGGGTGTATGAAACAAATAACAAAATTACTGATCTGTCAATAAAAACAAATAAATAGGTAACTCACCGGGGGGTTTCACTCCCCCTAACCTTAGGATTCAAGGTATATCCCTCCATACGATTCCATTATATCAATTAGTAACTATGTATCATTCTTTCTTCAACAACTAGCTAGTGTCACCTGAAATAAGTCGAGGCTCCCCCGGACGCCAACTAGTTAGCATCCCAACTACCGGGTGTGTGAGTCACACTATTATTATTATGCCACCTNTTTCCTAACATTGATAACTTTATATCGATACTGATTTACAAGGCCGGTCTATCAATGATTAGTTTTGCATATTTCTTGACAAAGGGTACCGAAATTATATTATTTACATATCTATTTACAAACGCCTGGTTTGCTATTGATTTTATTTGGTTTTCCTTAAATTTGATAAAGGCCTACCTAATATTGCAATAGGTTTTGAATAAAATCAGTTACCTACCCGGGGTGCTCCAGGACTCAGTTATGGGGCCCCTATTACTTGGTGTATTTGTAAATGACATTGTTGACGATATAATGACTTTTATTTATAATTCGAAACCTCACCACAACTTGATGATGACAGTTATATACTTTGTCACATTAAAGGAATCATAATATTCAGGGGGTATTTTGTTTCACTTCTGTCAGCTTTTTTACTTCCCATATAACCTTTCCTCGTGTGCAATGAACTTGAAATAGCATGAAGCGCACCGATTTTATTATTCCATTGTTTATCTGTAAACAGATTAAATTCTGAAAAAAATGTGATAACAAAAAGTGCTAGACCACTTATTTGCTGCCGACACAACACTGTTCACTATAAGTTTATCTAAAACGAGTAAAATTGTATTTAAATTTCATAATATGTTTAAGAAATTTACTTTAGGTTTTCACACTGTGGTCAATATACTCGGAATATTTGTTTAGTCTGTGGGATATAAAAATGAGTGATGCGGCATGCAGATATATCCGATTCTATATATTAAACAAAATTCGCAGTTGTAACAGATATTGATGTAATTTTCCTGGCTAGATCACTTTTTACTGTAAGATTCTGTTTAGATTATTCTCCAAAATTAGCTAATGACACGACAGTGTAATATCCTGTGTTCCATACAGGTACACTTTATTTTTGTGTTTTATGTTCTTAAATATTCAAACCGTTCCTACTACTCGTAATAGTGAACGAGGGAGTTCCATTATGACCTAGGCAACTCTAATTTGGTTTCGCGGAAGAGAGATGATGAAAATTAGACTCGACTGACGCTACGTCATATCTAAATTGGACCCGATTACTAGCTACTGTAATAATCCCAGTTCCTTTTTTAAGAGGAATTTGATGCTTCACGTCTAATACTTCAATTATTATTAAGAGATAAGACATAGAAACCCGCTGTAAAATTTGAAATTGAACAAATCTTGATAACAGTCATAATAATATGTAATTAACGATATAATCTTTTTTTAGGTGGCCACACAACTTCCAGCAGCGGCATTCTGATATTAACTGGTCTCATAGTTTTCGTAGCTGCCGAGAAGCTATTTACTGTGATAGAAAAAGTTGGCGAGAGACAACAAGAAAAGAACAACACTGCCGAAAATAACAACACAAAAGGGTTGAAAGAAGAGAACAAAACATCATTTGTAAGTTGAAAGAAGTTATTTAATTGTGGCCTGAAAATCGCGAGTAATGTTCATTCTAACAAATACTTAACTTGAAAATCCCACTTCTGATTCACAAATATCTGTTACCCATTTCTAGGTCACAGGATACCTAAACCTGGTCGCCAACACAATAGACAACTTCACCCACGGCCTCTCGTTGGGCGGCGCCTTCCTAGTTTCCCTCCGACTGGGGCTCTTCACCACGTTCGCCATCCTAGTGCATGAAATTCCACACGAGGTGGGCGACTTCGCCATCCTACTTAAGTCGGGCTTCACGAGGTGGCACGCGGCCACTTTCCAGTTGCTGACAGCTGGGGGAGGCCTTATAGGCGCCCTGTCGGCTATAACATTCAGCGGAGCCAAGAACTCCATGGGTAAGTGGTGACAATTGTCAACAATGTTCAAAGCTTCTATCCCCTTCTCTTGCATTACAGAAGCCAGGACATCCTGGATATTGCCTTTCACAGCGGGCACCTTCCTCCATATCGCTCTGGTCACAGTTCTTCCTGACCTGTTGAAGGAAGAGGACCCTAAGGAGTCCTTAAAACAACTGTTCGCCCTGATTTTCGGCATCACGCTCATGGCATGCGTGACGAATGCTTTCGAATGAACTTGATTCGGAGAGGCGTTTTTGAGTTGCCATATTTTACTGTATTTAATAGTTCTTGTACATATATAACGATGTAACAGTATTTCTAAGGTAAAATAGTTTGAGTAGAACATAGGGTGTTCTTCAGAGCAGGGTGTCCGCGTGTATAAATTTCCACATATCCAAAATATATCGGATGAAGTTTGGATGGTCGTCACAATACGTGTCGTGTATATAATTGAGGGATGATATCTGTAACAAATATAAAGGTACAACAGACAAAAATTGTATAAACCAATTGTTTAACAGTATTAGTAAGTTTCATATGTGTTTACAATTTGTGAAATTGCAAGATTTATTACGTTTTAATTAATTACCTGGGAAAATATAAAGTATGCAAGCCGTATCAATTTAACATTAATAAATTGCTCAAAAAATAGTTTTTAAAATGTTTTTTTTGACATGAAATAGTGAAAACATAAAATGTTTAAATTTATGAGGCAGTTTCATTACTAATACTTTAAAATTGTGCCCCTAATTTTGAAATTATTAGATTACAAGTTATCATATCATATAGAATTTACTTTAAACGAATTGTGAATCACAAGTGCTTTGGAAAGTTTAAATATTTTAGCGGTTTTATGGACCTATAAGGAATGGGAAGAAAATCCCTTAGATCTCTTCCTTTTCTGATATTGGAATAAAAAGAACCCCTTAGATTTATATTTTTATTTAAAAAAATATATATACATACACTCATTGTTTCCTAGACAACCTTCACAAGTTAAGTAAAAACAAATATTTTGTGATACTATTATCTATTTCAGAATATATATGTAGTACTTAAAAGTGCTCTTATATATTTTATATCAACTTCCATTGTAAATATGATATATTTTAAATAAAGAGCATCTAAGTTTATTGGAGTCGTATTATTTTTAACCTGATTAAATACCCAAATCCGACAGTAGTGAACAAAACGGTTAGTTACAATACCAGTATGTAATATTTACTTATGACGTTTCTTATACATTTTTTATGTCTCAAAGAATAAATATCTATCTATCTATCTACTTAAGGCACATATATGGCTTAAATTTTCGTTTATAATGAATTATAAGAATTATCTCTAATTACTATGTTTATCTTATAAGTACCTTTTGATCCTCTTGAAAATCTCAATGTAACTCAGGATTCATCCTTCAAATAGAACGGAATAAAACATTTTTTAAACATAACAGCTGAACTAAAATTCCAAAAATTCCTGCAAGATGTAATTATGATAGAAAACACAGGTGTTTAATTAAAAATTGTAATTTTTTTCTTTATTCATAAGGTATACAGTATAGGGTTATGTATAGGTGGTCGTGGGCTTGTTGGTATAAACCTTAGACTTCAGAAAACCCTAAAAAAAGTTCAACGGCGTTAAATCGCATAATCTGGCCGACCAATTTCGATCACCAAAACGGGAAATTACACAACCAGGAAATAACTCGTTGAATTGTTCCTCGGACTGTATAGCATGTCGTCCAAATCCATATCTTGCAATTTAAGCACAAAAAGCTGGATTATCTTGTCGCGATAGCGAGCACCAGCTGCAATTTCGAAGAAGAATGGTTCGATGATGCCTCCAACCCAAAATCTGCACCAAAATGACACGTTGTGGATGCATTTGTTTCTCAACAATAACTAGTGGATTTTCTGTACCCCAAATGTGCAAACTTTGTCGAAGATGAAAATGAGTTTCATCTTTGAAGATGATTTTGTTCGAAAAATCAGCATCCACTTGTTCCTTGCTTGAATTGAGATTAAGTCAAATGAAATGACCTTGACTTGATTTCCAGGTGACCTTATAGAGCTAAACTATCCCCGAATTCAGGTTCAGCGACCTCAAAAGCATACATACTTACATGTTAACATTCGTAAAAGGCATTTTCTTTGCTTTGACCTTGAAATGATCTTGACTTGACCTAAATGTCCCCGAATTCAGTCCCCAAAAAAACACATATATGCACTGGTTGAAATTCAATACAAGCCTTTTCTTTAGTTTCATCTAGAAACGACCTTGAATTGACTTGAAGGTGAGCTTTACGGTTACGCTATCTCCAGATTCAGATTCTGCGAGCCCAAAAACCTATACACTCACTGGTCAAAATTCAATACAAGCTAAGCTATCCCCGAATTCTGGTTCAGCGATCCCAAAAGCATTGTACCTAATGGTCAAAATTCATTATATGCCTCAGTTTTTGAATCTATCAACTTCGTGAAGCTTACTCAGTCCTACAGCCCAAAATCACATACTTTCCCCCTCTTTATCTCTGAAACTGTTCATAGGATCACTTTGGGCCCATGACAACTTTTGATCAGAAAGTCAAAAACTATAACATTTGAGCAAAATCGACTGCGACCCATTTTCCATTGATTTTGTGCGGGGTTCTTCCTGCAAACATGCAATTTGCTGAGTCCCTTCGTCATTAAATGAAGTTATTGAGAATTTTATGTTTAAAAGTAGGCTATGGATTCTTTGGTGAAGAGGGCAGAAGCTTGTATTAATGTCGGGGATAGCCACTTTCAGCAGCTGTTGCATTAATGATTTTGTTTAATTTTAATTTCAACACCCTGTATCTGAGAAACGAAGTATTTCCGGACAAAGGTTTATATAAACTTTTTTTCTTAGAATTAGCTCGGGAATACCCCACTTAAATATTTTGACGTACTTAGGTTACACCCTGTATAAATACTAATAATATAAGTTGATCTTTACAGTTTCCAATAACGTAACAATCTTATTTTCGTTAACCTACTTAGCAAATGTCGTAAGTCCACTTTTTATCCAGACAAAGATTTTGGTGGCATCTAGCTGGCAGTGCATGAACCTGTCATGCTGAGATGTCAGATTTTACTTTAGTAGTAAACAGCACGCGAAAACATCAAAACGCATATATCGAATGTCCACTGCATTCGATTCAGGAGCAGAAATAGTCTTAAATCCACCAAAATCTCTGTCTGGATAAAAAATGGACTTACGACATTTGCTAAGTAGGTTAACGCTATATTTTTTCTTTATTGGAAGTTTTGTCACTTACACTGAAAAAAGCAAGACAAATACAAAATATGAAAAACTATATTATCGACCATTTTAAATAGTTTCGAAAATCTGTTTTCGTGTTATGAACACAAAATGCTCTCTTAATTTTCTTTTAACGGTATTATTTTTTTCCACAATTTTGTCCAAACGCCATTGAATTACATGACCGTTTTCCCAAGAGTTATTCTTGTTTTTTTTTATTTTAAATGTGAGAAATTGTAGAAGTTTACGTTGATTTTTCATAAAAATTTTCAATACTTAATCTTTGCAAGTATCAAATCGTCACCTTTTGATAATACAAATACTAACAACACCCAGGTTGATCAATACAGTTTCCAATAACGTGAAAATTATAATAGTCTAGCACAACTACATATATTAAAAACGAGAATTTGAGAAATAAAAAATTTGCGATCACGCTTGGAAAAACAGTTATGTAATTCAAAGGATTACTTGCCATGTTTTTGACCCTATATCTGTCATTTGTTTTATTTTATCTTGAATTGCCCGATCACGATCGTCTTGGATAATAATTCATAAATGGGTGATATATTTTGCTATATAGAGTCATACTTTTACTGAAAAACATATAAAATGAGAGTGCTTCTCTTTATGAACTTGTTTTTGAAAGTTTTAGTGCCTGTTTTGATCTTCATAATGACAGTGAATTGATTATTTTAGGCGACTTCAATATTCATATGTAAATTATGTAAGTAATAATTATTTTTGTGATAAACATGTTGAACACCTGAACAATTTTAGTGATTTTCTTGGGCTAACTCAATATAATTGCATTTTAAATACTCACAGGAGAATCTTGGACTTAATATTTTCTAGATCAATTTTATCTATTGCTGGATCTGATTTTCGTCTTCTAGATGAAGACCCACATCATCCGGCGCTCGACATAAAACTTCCCATCAATATTAATACAGAAACTTTTACTAACAATCGAATTGCTAGATATAATTTCAGGAAAGCGGANACCCTTAAAAACTCACCCCCTACCATTCCCGACCTCAGATCGCCCGTAAATTATTTTTCGTTTCATTTCTGTTATATTCTTTTTCTTTTCCAATGGGTTTCATCCTACTATAATTTTTTTTCACTTTTTACCATTTTTGAAGGCTTAAGCACTGGTCTAAAATCAACATGGCTTCACGACAGGTAGGTCCACAGTATCAAATTTAGTATGTTTTAATCAGCATGTATCAGAAGTCTTAGACACGGGAGGTCAGATTGACGTTATTTATACTGATCTGTCTAAAGCGTTTGACAGACTTGACCATGGTTTCTTACTGGAAAAATTATTTTCTTATGGCTTAACACTAAATTTTACTCATTTTCTGCAGTCCTATTTGTCTCATAGAATATTACATGTTCAGTACCGTGGTTTCCAGTCTGTTAATATACACGCAACGTCAGGTGTCCCTCAGGGTTCGATTTTAGGACCACTTTTGTTTAATTTATTCATAAACGACATAAATATGAATATTGACAGTAGGTAATACATTATTGTATGCAGATGACCTAAAATTGTTTAGGGGTATCGAAAACGTCGAGGACTGTTTGAAACTGCAATCTGATCTATCAACGGCTAACTCTTGGTGTGACACTAACTCCCTGCCACTTAATATCAAAAAATGTTTTTGTATGTCATTTTCTAGAAAGACCAATTTTAATTCTATTAAGTATGCATATAACATTGATACTGTACGTTTAACAAAATGTGACCAATTTAAAGATTTAGGTGTTTTGTTCGACTCCAGACTAACTTTTGCTAATCATATCAATGTAATTACCAAAAGTGCCTATAAATCTCTTGGATTTATCATTCGCAACTCTAAACAGTTTTCGGTGAACACTATTAAACTGCTTTATTATTCACTGGTTCGTTCTAAACTTGAATATGCTAATATGGTATGGAATCCAGGCTATGAAGTTCATAAAAACAGTCTAGAAAAGATTCAGAGGCAATTTCTTAAATACCTAAGTTTCAAATCTGATAATACCTATCCATCTCGCGGAATCCCTCATTCCGAACTATTAACCAGGTTTCAACTTAATGACTTAGCTCAAAGAAGGCTCTATTTTTCTGTTTTGTTTTTGTTTAAGATTGTAAATGGGATGATTGATTGTAGGGAATTACTAGAGTATTTGAATTTTAATATTTTGGGATGTAGAACTCGCTACATTTATTTATTTTATTTGAAGACACCAAGAACGAATATTCTTAAATTTTCTCCAATAAATGTTATGTGCACAAATTATTATCATCGTTATCAGAATCATCTCGATATTTTTTGTTGTAATGTTCCCAGTATTAAAAGATGTATCCTCAATAGAAGTTAAGTCGCTATTTTTATGTATTTATATACAGGGTGCTCCGAATATTATGCAGGAAACTTCGAGGGCAGATAGATCTCTTTAAAATAATAGGTGTTTGCCTTATCAACAGGTCTGGAAGGGCCTCGTTTTAGAGATACAGGGTGTCGAAGTTGTTAAAAAAAATTGATTTTTTGTTTATATCTCTGAAATCTATTAACTGATCTCAATTAAACTTGGTACAGATAATGTATGACAGTAGGCCTTGCATTTCTTAAAATATCAGCTCTAAAGGTTCAACCAGTGGTGTACAACTGGACAGGGGTCGTTCTCTTTTAATAAAAAAACTACGCCACTGTATTTTTTACAAGTTATTGTAACGGATTTATATTCTAATGCACAAAATACGTGAAAAGGAGACTTTAATTTTTTCCCTAAGATTCGCCGTTCTCAAGATATTCATACCAATACAATTCCTTTGTGGCAAACACTTCTAACCATAATATTACAAGAATATTTATGTTTATGCTTAAAAGTAAGTGCAATTTGTAAGCAGACCAACAAAATTATTTCCACATCACCTATGAGGTAGTGTTCCTATTGTGTTTTAGTTTCCCCTGGAGGCTTTACCATGTTTACAAATAAGAACAATTTAAATCAAAATAATAATAAAAATACATTTACCAAGCAACAACAATTAAACAAGAAACGAAATTAACGTTACGTATTTACAGCAATTGTTCGAAATGCGAACCATCCATTTACATTTCTGACAACTTCTATTAATGATTAATGGAATTACCTAACTAATATGTGGTGATTTTCTTTTAATTCATTACACCCCTCTTCTATTCGCTGCAGTAGTTGTGGTCTTGTATCTATTGGAGTAGAGTAAACTTTACTTTTCTAATAGGTAACCCCAAACATAGAAGTCCAGGGGGTTTAGATCTGGCGATCTGGCTGGCCAAGACACTGAATTCTCGACACCATTATGGTTGACATTAGCATTTGGTCTTCAACCTATCCATCGCCCCATATAATTTTCATTAAGTCACTCTTGTATTATTCTCCTAAAATGCGCAGGAGCACCATCCAGCTATTTTGTAGTATATTTAATGGAACATCCTCTAATAATTCAAATAGATGGTTTTCTAGAAAGTTTAGGAATGACTGATTTTAAATTTTGCACAGGATTCAAATTTTCGATTTACTCATCCCAAGTTGCCGAGACGTGCTTCGTGTACTTAGCCCAGGGTCGCCGTTAGATGTTCTTAAAATTTCATTTATGTGCCTTTCATTTCGCCGTCGTGATTTTCCAAATATAGTTTTGTCCAAAAAGATGAAAGCGACGAGTGTAAAGAATTTTGTTGATGTGCTTACAAATTGCACTTTTATGCATAAACATAAATATTCTTGTAATATTATGGTTAGAAGTATCTGCCACAAGGGGATTGTATTGGTATAAATAACTTGAGAACGGTGAACTTTAGGGAAAAAATTCAAGTTACCTTTTTTACGTATTTTGTACATTAGAATATAAATCCGTTACAATAGCTTGTTAAAAATACAGTGGCGTTGTTTTTTTATAAAAAAGGGGGTGACCCTGTCCAGTTGTACACCACTGGTTGAACCTTTGGAGCTCATATCTTAGGGAATGCAAGGCCTACTATCATACATTATCTGTACCAAATTTCATTGAGATCGGTTAATAGATTCCGGAGATATAAACAAAAAATGTTTTTTTTTAACAACTTCAACACCCTGTATCTCTAAAACGAGGCCGTTCCAGTCCTATGTTTATAAGGCAAACGTCTATTATTTTAAAGAGATCTATATGCCCTCGAAGTTTCCTGCATAAAATTCGGACCACCCTGTATAGTGTGTATTTTCTATTTGTTTTTCAATTATGTTAATGCAAATGTTATCTGTTTTTTTAATCTGCCTTATAATTGGGCTCCGTCCTATCTTGGCAGTTGTTTCCAACTAAATAAATAAATAAACTATCTATACAAACGAATAACGACCTCTTAATTGAATTTACATCAATATTATGTAGAGTGGTGGAAAGTGGAACGTTACCGATAAAATAGTATCTTTGCCCCTCTTCAACCATAGTTATAGTTTAGTTTTTGTTTTCTACGTTTCTATTTCCAAGTCATAGAATCAATATTAAAACACTGTGTATGGTCCTTGTAAATTGTTAATTAATACAGACTTGACTCCGACTTCAATTCTCACTTGGTTTCCTTGAAATTTCATATCTGAATATAGATATATTTATCAAAAAACCGGCTATAGTTGTTATGCTGCGATAAACGATGATGGTCTTATAAACAAATCAATGACGAAATAGGAATAAGACGGACTGTTGAAAAGTTAATTTCCGTTTTTAAAATTAAAACGTGTGACCCCAATGTAAGTACTCATTTTTCATTATAATCTGGACTAAATTTCTATTTTGTTTAATAACAGCTTCTTCTGCAACTAAGGTGTTTATTTTCTAGCATGTCCAAGAGCAAGCCACTACCCGAAGGCAATATTCAAGTCAGGGAGTCAATTTTGACTGAGCTTTTTGAGAGCAACGTCCACATAAGAACAGTTCGCAACTTATTTGTGGTTCTTTTGCTGTATTTGTTTGTAAATACAGTCGCAACAGATTATTTCCAAAATGGAGAGTAAGTGTGAAGTACAGGTTGCATGAAAAATGTTGCGGAGAGAATATCCTCTAAACATTCATCCAACTTGCTGCTCTGATTCAACGGTGAATTTCAAAATAAAATGAAAATTTAATCCTACGTACTTTCTAGGTCACAATTTGGGTTTCGCCTTATAAAATATTGCTTTGGTAAAGTATACATAGCAGCACTGGCCTGGGTAGTCTTTGTAGCAATCAGTTTTCTGTGTTACTTAAGCTTTAAAATGTGGGCGAATATTAGGATCGTCTTGTTCCCAAAATGTAAGAACCCAAATATATTTTAAAAACTCCACTAATTGTAGTATTAATATTTCAAATATTATTAATTTAGTTTTTTTATATTTTTAACTGTTTCTTTAGCAACAAGTGTTAAACTGTTGGATTTTTCGAGCCTTTCCCTATTGGTTGGTTACTATATTTTCACATTTCACATGCCAATGTACGTGGTAAGAACATTCGATCTTCCTCTAGCATCGGCAACAATAGTTCTTGCAGAACAGGTAAGAATCCTACCAGTTATACTTTTTAAACAATGTAAAACACGATATTGCAACACAACTCTATAAAATTTTGATTATAGGTTAGAATAGCGATGAAAATCCATGCTTTTGTACGAACCAATGCTCCAAAAGTATTAAATTGTAAACCTCACGTCGAAGATCTTGTAAAATTACCCACTTTCTGGAACTTTCTCTACTTTATGTTCGCCCCGACGCTGATTTACAAAGATGAATACCCAAGGTAGGAACCAAGACTTAAACGCACATAAAAAGGACTGATCAATTATTTTTGTTTCAGAACCAAAACCATCCGCTGGTCTTTTGCCGCATGCCGTCTGTTGGAATTATTCTCTGAAATCCTATTCTACAGCATCATATTCGATCAGTACATGCTTCCGCCTTACAGAGACTTCGGAACCAGGAAGTTCACCTGGACCGAAATATTCCTTGCGATTCTCAAGAACTCAGCTCCGGCAATGATGGCGGCGTTCCTGTGTTTCTACATGGTGCTACATTCGGTACAAAATTTCTTCGCAGAAATACTCCGTTTCGGAGACAGGGCCTTCTACGCGGACTGGTGGACCTCCACAGAGTATTCAGTGTTTTACAGGAAATGGAATTTAGTTGTGCACAACTGGCTACACATATTCGTTTACAGAGACGTCAGAATGTTAATGCCGATGAACAAAGTCTTCGCGACAGTGGCGGTCTTCGTTCTCTCAAGTCTGGTGCACGAATGGGGCTTTTGCAATATGTCCGCCGCATTCATTCCAGTCGTTAGTGTAGAATATTTAGGCCTAGGTATGATTTTGTACTTTGTCAAAATGCCGAAAAGTAGTCTCTTTAACGTATTATTCCTGTTTGGATTTGCATTTGGCACAAGCGCACTTTTTTGCTTCTATAATTTGGAATATTATGCGAGGCAGAACGCACCTATTGAGGTTTTTGATATTTGGCACCGTGTTTTGCCTAGATTATTCACGTGCGACTGCATACAGGGACTACAGGGTTAGAAAAACAAAACTACTAACATTTATTTTAACAAAGATCTAATATGGTAATTGGTACATCATATGATTCATTCACATATTCATATATATCAGTACAAACTAAGCAGAGTGGCATAGCTACGAGGAACTACTAAATCAAGGGGAAAATGAGCAAGTTTGTTGTATATAATCTTGCTATTCGTAAATTTAAAATAAATATTGCATCATCTTCAAGGTCATGAACTCAACCTATTACGGTTATTAGGAATAGTGATTTGATTATTAAAATCTTGTTCAATAAAAATTGTAATTATTCATACATTTTGGTTAATTACTTTGACCATGAGGAATAAATATTTTACAGATTAAAATGTTTTATTTACTACGTATAGGCATATACCTTCAAAATATTTTTTATGATCAGTTTATCCTTATTATTCTCAGTGCAGTAGCGGATTCAGTCCGCCATTCGTGATGGCAACATTGAGTTCCCCCACTCTCATTCATCTATGTTCATCCCACATAAAGGTACTATAATTTTATTTATTAAATACATATTTTTTTACTTGAAATTTGCGAAAATGTGTTTCGTAAACAATGTTAATTGTTCATAACAGATGTTCTGAAAGCTACATAAAATATACAGTCCTGCGTAGTGTTATGTAAAATATCCAGGTTAGAATTTTGAAAATTTTTTTCCCGAAAACTAGGTTCGACCGCACAAAAATAATTTCAGATTCGTGTTCAGCAGCATCGAAAAAAGGGGGGTAGACAAAATTTTGTGAAGATTTGGGAAGGTGACACTATAGTAAATAATTACCATTTATTTTTGAGTATTTCGTTTATCACTATTGATTACTGCTTCAGTTTTTTTGTTAGGTTACTTGTTAAGTACTGTTTGTATAGTAGTCCAGGCAAGTTAGACCAAAATCACCCAGAATACGGCAATTTTTTTCTGATGAACCAATCGAGTTGCTGTTTTCGGCATTGTCTTCGGAAAAATATCAGGAAAAAAGTCTATATATTACACTTTGGGGCTGGATCGAAACTGCATTGCGGGTGCATAAAGTGCATCTTGGAGTGCATCAATTTTTCCAAATTTTCTAAAAATGGTAAAAATTGACTAAAAGTTGTAGAAATTTGTGTGCACGGGTTTTTTGACCCTGAAAAATATACCCAACGGCCCTGGGGCCCCCCAGGGGAGCAAGCGGGGGTCTTCTGTAAAACATTGAATAGCTGAGCCCCAAAGCCCCAAAGTGGGCTATATAGACTTTTTTCCTGATATTTTTCCGAAGACAATGTCGAAAACCGCAACTCGATCGGTTCATCAGAAAAAAATTGCTGATTTATTGTTTAACTTGCCTGGTCTATAGCGAAATCCCACTCAGCAAAAGTAACTCGCGGCAAATGTGCCGTTATTTGAGGTTATACTAGCTTCTCCAGCGGCGGGGTACGAAAATTACTAAAAAAAAGTTAACAAAAATTAAGGTTTTACGAAGAAATTTGAAAAAATAAACTATTGATACGTTTTTCTAAAGATGAAAGGAAGCCTCTCTATAAACATGATCTCCACTTAAAGTTACACCTTCTATACACGAAGATCCTTGTGTATTTGACGAAATTCGAGACCAAAGTAACGTCTCAAACCTTGCAGGTCGTTCTTAGTTTGTCCATTCAATAGGCATTTATTAAAACGGCTTCAATTATTATTGTACGTATTCTTGCATTAAATAATCATTCCAGTTGTTTTTAACTACTGGAATTAATTGATAAAGTAGGAATTAGTTTGGTTGGTAATGTTGGTATGTTGTTACATGGAGGGAGGGTTTACGTCGACAAAACCACACACATCTTCCGTCCTCAACGGACTTGCACGGCGTCTACTTCTATCAGGAGCACAGAGACTATAGAAGATCTACGACAATCTCTGTGCAACGATAATGAAATATTTGTAAATGATTTTATGTCAAAACAGCATTCCAATTTTTATACTTAGTTTTGAAATCACTATAATTACCAGCAAATTTTAAAATTACTTATTATGAACATGGAAATAAACTTATATTACTTACTTATTATAACTATAATATTCTTATTAATATTAGAAAATAATAAACAAAAATCATAGTACTCTAATTTGTTAGAGACCTACCAAGAATAAGCAGACATTTGGTTTATTTTCATGTAACAGTTCATAATTATTTTAAAATTAAAGCAATAAAAACAACAATATAGGTATTCCAGTTCGATACTATTAAGGTGAGAAAACATTATTTTTTTAAAATAATTCGACATTTATATTCCAGCCCTTGATAATCTAAACAAATGTAGATGAAATTTTAAATAAAAAAAAAATTCTCAAACTGTGTAATAATAACAAACCAATAATGTAATTCCAATTATTTTATTCAGTCACAGAAGTTTAGTGACATTTTCAAACTGTTCGCTAAATTGCAGATTATTTTATTTGGTTTTCAATGTTTTGATTCAGAAATGACCATGTTACAACATTTTGAATTGTGATGGATAAACTTTTCGTCATTACCACATTCAATATTTTGATAGAATTGATTAGGTATATGTAAAAGTGCTGTATTTTTAACATTTTAAAATAAATACTTTCTCTCGATTCTGTAACCCTGTTATATGAGCCCTGTTAGTTATGAATGTAGAGGATTCGTAAAATCGTTTACATGTGTGTAAATAAAATTGATGATTTTGATTTGTCAGTAAAAAATAAATTAATAATTAATGATACTTCATGATTGATAAAAAAGGATTCAGTTTATTGCTATTCTTCAAAAAATTAAGGTACAATTGAATAATTTTCTTTTGTTCCACAACCCCTAAAGAAAAATACTTTTATATACCCTATACCTACCTACCATCTATTTAAATATTAGAATTTTAGATTTTATTATGTAAGAATACAAGTAAAAATCCCATATTCAATGTAATTAATATCTTGTTAATATCATTGTGTTCGATCTGACTCAAAACACTGTGTATAAATAAAACTGGAATAAAAAATGTATGTTGCTTTATTGGGTCATCATCAACCCACATTACATATTGAGGAAGCAAGGTAATCAAATCGTGTTGCACAACTTGTCTGTCTATTCCGCACATCAAGTTATCAAACTCGAGCTCCCCATCATCAGGGTAGCAGAAGTACCTGAGTATAATAATTCACCGTATTCGTTTGCCTACATCTAGTGTTTAGACGATACTTACTCCACTCGGCCTCTGTTCTCCTGATACTAAGACCGCCAAATTCGCGCCCAAACAGATTCTCGTGGATCACGCGGCGCGATATTCGCGACCGCTTTATTTTAGAAATGACAGAAGGCATTGTACTGTTGTTCCATCTACCGATAACTTCTCTAAGTAACTATATTAAACTACTTTTATGGTTCTTAGCATAGCTACTGTAGTTGATTTTAATATAAAAAGGAGCGGGCAAAAAATTACTTATAGTTCTTTTTTCCTAATTAATAAAATTATTGAATTTCAGTACTTACGGCAATGTTGCTTAAGTAATAAAGATTTTTATTCCATTTTGTGAAATGTCGTTGTATTATCTTTCATCCTTGTAACTAAAGGCATCGACTGTTTTAAATAACATGTAGTTTAATAAAAGTTGACAGGATTCTACAAAACAAGCTCTAATTTCCGTATGTATAAATAAAACCTGATAAGATTTGAAAAAATGATGGAATAAGATAATTTAGGCAACAGCAATTATTTTATATTTGGGAAATGAAAATGTAAACAATTTTTTTATGGTATACGCCACAGCTTACTTGTTACTAGCGATAAATGGCAGCAAATCAACGTCGCCGTTGATCTGGTCACTTCCTCGTGTTAGCTCCAATTTAACCACGACAAATATGAATCCCAGCCGTTGTGACGACATCAGGAAAAAATCCAGTGGAAGGTGACTGACTGTTGACTGTTCCTACTCAGTCGTGAAATGAACTAGTAGATATCCACCACTTTTATCAGTTATCACTCATGCGAAAACATTTTTGTGTTTGTTTCGAATAGAGTAACGAATGTGTGTGCGTTTGGTAGATTGCGCATGCTGTGGCTGAAACATACAAGTAGTTTTCAGTTACCTATAAAGTGGAGTATAGAAAATGAGTCCTAATAGTAACAGGGTGGCTGCCGAAAAAGCAAACGAGGATGAAAAAACGAGCAGTAATAAAATGTAAGTACTTTTATTCAAGAGAAGTGCACAAATGAAAACTGTAATAAGTAGATATGTGTTTTACTCAATTGTAAATAAGATTATAGGTTCATTTTGATTAATTAAAGTTCATTTGCACTTATTTATCAAGTTGTTTGCCCTTTCAGCTTTTATTTATTATGATTTATTTGCAATTACAACAAAATATGATGTAATGTTAATGCAATCACAAATAAATTCATCTTAAGACATGATTATCTTTAGGCTTGGTCTATTGAACCATAGACAATGTACAAATTTCTTGTTACGTTATATTCATATTATAAAACTATTCTATATTAAATACTATTCTCAAGATTTATGGAAAAATTGTAACAATAAATGATTTACTAATCTTAAGACATAAGATGCATGCATAACAATATCCGGATTATTATTTTTTTTTTTTCAGACAATCGAAATACAGACCCTTGCCAGAGAAAAAATTCGAACCGAGGAATTCTTTGCTAACTGAGCTATTCGAGAGTAATCCGCACATCAAAACAATACACCACGTGTTCATAGCAATTTTGCTGTCTTTGTTTGTAAACACAGTGGCTCACGATTACCTGAGAAATGGGACGTAAGTACAAAAAATATGGTCTGATATGTACTTTTCTTGCGAAATCGACATTTACAATGGTTTAACTTTTTTTAATATTTGTTAAATATTTTATTTTTCATTTAATTCACTTCCCCTTTATATATAATCGCGCTAATGACAAAATAATGAAAGCAGCATACCATTACAAAGGAAATTTCATTCCATATAATTCCCGTAATGAATAATGAATGATTAAACGTAAAGTGACTCATAAAAAATTCAAATTAGCTACTAAAAATGTATAATTACAAGAAATACACTGCGCGTTAGTAAATCCAAGAAATACATTGACTAATTACTGTTACTTATTTGTTTTCTTTGTTTATAGGATTGATCTGGGTTTACGTTTCATATACAGAGGGTTTGGCCGTCTGTACGTAGCTATATTTGGATGGCTTTTCTTTTTTACAACGACGTGTATGTGTTACTTTTGTTTTATGGTATGGGGGAGAATGAGGATAAGTTTATTCCCAAAATGTAAGTGTCAAATTTGCTCTCTACAAAGCCCTTTGATATACAGGGTGATTCATTAATAATGGGACAGAGCTTAAGGGCATGTTGCTGACCTCAAAATAGAGCGATTAAGCCAAATAAGCCGTATCCGAATGTTGCTCCTTTTCGATCTACAGGGTGTTAAAGTGGAAAAAATATTTTCGATTTTTTTAAATATCTTGAGCATCTTTGAACGGATTGTCTTGAAAGTTTGTACAACTATGTTTTCTTAGGTGGTAATTACGGAAATGGTAACTATTTTGCAGTCACATCTAGGATGCGCTAGTTGTAGTGTTCCGTCGGAGTAAACATATGTCAAATTTTTTTGTCCTTCAAAAATCTGAATTTCCAATAAGAAATTATTAAACTACGTTCAATTCTAAATAAAAAAGATATACCTGTTAAAAATCGATAAACTTAATCGTTTTCGAAATAAGAACGATTTACTATTTCTGTACAAAATTATTTGTTTAAACGTACGCCTTTAAATAAGATGACTTAAATGAAGTAGGCCGCTGTCAATGAAATGTCATGTATTATTTATGTCAATTCTAAGCAACTTATAAATACTAGACAGTTTAGTTCTTCTTCGTTTGTGATTTTTTTCATTAAAATGCCGCGTCATAATGATTATTCGTTTGTTGAAATGAGAAACATGGTATGTGTGTATGCCCAAGAAAATTATTGTGGTCGTCATGCAGCAGCGAGGTACTTGGAGTTATATCCAAATAACAGACAACCTAACCACAAGCTTTTCAAGACGTTGTACGACAGATTAGGAGAAACGGGATCATTTCGCCCTAAACGAGACGTTGGAAGGCCTAAAGTATTAGCGGCGGAGCAAGAAGAGGATGTTTTAGTGCGAATTGCCGAAAACACGCAAACAAGCACACGCCGAATTTCATCAGCTACTGGTGTAAGTCAGCCTTCCGTCTTCAGAATACTCCACAAAGAAAAATTGTATCCTTACCATTTTCGTCCGGTTCAACAGTTGATGCCACAAGATCCTCCTGGTAGATTTCGGTTCGCACAGTTTCTTCGTCGGCAACAAAATGCTGACCCTACATTTTATAATAAAATATTGTTTACGGACGAAGCTACATTTACCCGGCGCGGTGTATTTAATTGGAGAAATAGCCATTCCTGGGAACTGGAAAATCCTCACTTGCCACGAGAACAACATTTTCAGCATGAATTCTCAATAAATATTTGGTGTGGAATACTTTCCGATAACATTTTGGGACCATTTGTGTTACCCCGTCCACTTAATGGGGAAAATTATTTAAATTTTTTAACAAATGACTTGCCACTCGTTCTTGAAAATATCCCCTTAAATTTACGGCAAACCTTTTGGTTTATGCATGATGGTGCTCCCGCACATTACTCCCGACCAGTAAGAGAATATCTTGATATAAGTTTTCGAAACCGTTGGATTGGTCGCGGCAGCGAAGTGCCTTGGCCTGCGCGTAGCCCTGATTTAAATCCCCTAGATTTTTATTTCTGGGGTAACGTTAAATCTTTAGTTTATAAAGATGTTATACATACTCGAGAAGAGCTGTGGGCAAAAATACAAGAATCTGTTAACATTATCAGAGACCAACAAAGAAGTCTATTCAGTGTCAGACAAAATTTTAACGAGAGAATAAAAAAATGTATTGAAAACAATGGTCGCCACTTTGAGAATCTTTTGTAATTAGACTTAAGCATAATAAAATTTTCAGTTGTTACTGTGTTTGTCTTAATTCGTAATTAAGTCATCTTATTTAAAGGCGTACGTTCAAACAAATAATTTTGTAAAGAAATAGTAAATCGTTCTTATTTCGAAAACGGTTAAGTTTATCGATTTTTAACAGGTATATCTTTTTTATTTAGAATTGAACGTAGTTTAATAATTTCTTATTGGAAATTCAGATTTTTGAAGGACAAAAAAGTTTGACATATGTTTACTCCGACGGAACACTACAACTAGCGCATCCTAAATGTGATTGCAAAATAGTTACCATTTCCGTACTTACCACCTAAGAAAACATAGGTGTACAAACTTTCAAGACAATCCGTTCAAAGATGCTCAAGATATTTAAAAAAATCGAAAATATTTTTTCAACTTTAACACCCTGTAGATCGAAAAGGAGCAACATTCGGATAAGGCATATTTAGCTTAATCGCTCTATTTTGAGGTCAGCAACATGCCCTTAAGCTCTGTCCCATTATTAATGAATCACCCTGTAGATTTTATAGTTAAGTACATGTATGTAGATGCGGATTTTTCATCTCTTCTTTAAAAAATATATATTATGAATATTATTATGTTTTCCTGGATATGTTATCATTTTAAAGTACATCTATTTGTAATAACAAAGACGTCAAGTCTGTTATCGTGAAACAAGCTGCCAGATTTTCGATCAAAACATAAATCATTTTCTGCTATTTATTTGAATTTTTAGCCAACATCAAAACATGGGACGCAATGTGGCTCTTACCCCTCCCTGGCTACTATGTGTTGACTTTCAGGATAGCAGCGTTTATTGTTACGGCATTCCAGTTACCACCAGCTTCTGCAGCTATTGTCCTCTTGGAACAGGTAATCTTCCGACGATTCTAGAAAGAAATGAAAGTGTTTACTATTAATACTCCACATTTCTAACAATAAACTGCATAGAACTGCAGCTATACTTGTATTGCAACGAAAATTTATTCCATGGAGTTCATAGTGAATTGCTCACAGTTATGATTAGAGTGTGACGCTTGTGTGCGAAATCGATGGCGTCCCTAAGAAATTTAAAAATAACACAGGTCAATATTTAATTTGAAAAAAACACCGGGCTTTACCTAAGTACGCCGGGGTTTTTGGGGTCGCTGATTTCGATGCTAAGGTCGGTTAAGTTCAAGGTTACTTGAAGGTTAAAGTAAGAAAAAGTGGTTGAAAAAAATCTGAAAAAATTCATGGGTTTTTTGGGCCGCTGAGTCTGAATCCGATGTCGGCTGACCTCTATCACCTCATGTTCAAGGTCGTTTGAAGGTTACAGTAAGAATAGGAGGTGAAAAAAATTGGAAAACTTTTTTACGAATGCTCACCTGCCTACTTTTGTCTGTTTATCTACCTGCATTTTTACCTGCACATTTGTTTGTTTGCTTGTTAGTCTGTATTTATTGTCCGCCTGCATTTTCTCTCTGTCCATCTACCTGATATCCTGTCTTTCTGTCGATAATTTTGTCTATCTTCCTGTCTGACTAAATGACTAAATGTTTTTCTGCCACCCTCTATCTAATCTCTGTCCACTGACAGACTGTCTGCCTCCTTGTCAGTTTGTCTTCTTACCTTTCCGTCTTCCATCCTTTCTCGGTTTTACGTAATTGTACAAAAACTATACAGAGTGTATCTTTGAATACGGAGGCTACCTTGGTCTTTAAAAACGCATATAAGTTTGCTTTCTCAAATTTCTTCATGAAAATGCATGTTTTAAACTTTTTTTCACTAAAACAATTTCACAAAAATGACATCAAGTAACAGTCTGTGCCAATCCTTTAGGTCAATAGAGCCGCAAACGCCCTTTCACCTCTCCGCCTTATTTACACACTGAAGTGACAAACTTTAATCATGACTTTAGTATTTTAATCTCAACCATCAGAATATGAGTTCCTGAAGATTTTTCTGGTTTCAGGTGAGAATGATGATGAAAGTCCACGCTTTCATAAGAAGCAATGTTCCAAAAGTTTTAATTATTAAAACACAGTCCGAGGCACAGTTGCTTTTACCCTCGTTCCGGAAGTTCGTGTATTTTCTTTTTGTTCCAACTTTGGTCTACAGGGACGAATATCCACGGTAAGAATAAACATTTTGATAAAAACTAGATTATTAGCAATCGCATTTAATTCGAAACTATGAATTTTGAGCCTTATGTAAGCATTATATTGAAATGCGCATGCTGGCTATTGGAAACCGTTCTAGGAACAAAGCTATTAAGTATTTCTTTAAATTTCAGAACGCCTATCGTGAGAAAGAGTTTTGTGATGTACAGGGTGCTGGAAATAGCCGGCGTCATATTCTTCTACAGCTTCCTGCTAAATCGCTTCCTAATTCCTGTTTACCAAGACTTTGGCATCAGTAAGTTCACCTGGAACGAGATAATCATCTCCATATTCGAGAGCGCCGTCGTGGGCATGCTCATCCTGCTCTCTACCTTCTTCCTCGTGCTCCACTCAGTGCAGAACGCTTTCGCCGAGTTGTTGCGTTTTGGCGACAGGATGTTCTACATGGACTGGTGGACCTGCACGTCGTTCTCCGAGTACTTCAGGACGTGGAATATTGTGGTTCACGACTGGCTATACACCTACGTGTACAAGGACATGTACGAAATAATCACGCCAAGGAACAAAATGCTAAGCAAGCTGGCTGTGTTCGTGGTTTCCGCCGTGGTGCACGAGTGGGTATTGACTTATATGTTCGGCTTCTTCTTCCCGGCAATGTTCATTTACTTCCTCTTCGGAGGAGCGCTTTTGAGCTTTGTTAATGCGCCCAAAGGGACGGTGTTGAACGTGTTGTTTTGGTACGGGTTGGCACTTGGTTCTGGGAGCCTTTTAAGCATGTACACCTTGGAATATTTCGCCAGGCTGAATGCTCCCACAGGTGATACTAGTTGGAAGGACTACGTTCTGCCGAGGTGGCTCACCTGCGATTGTATAGAAAAGTAGTCGTCTGGGTGGGTACGTTTTAAATCTGTGATTTGCATACAAATTAGGAGAAAGTACACTTCAGATATTTGCTGAAGCAACTTTAGGTCCTTTTTGCTGTTCCAAGAAAACTAACTTTGGTTCAATTTTTTGTATAGTAAATACACGGATATTAAATATAGAAGTCTCAGACTACATTTGACACTAGCTTAAATTAATATGTATGTATTGCGATTACAAAATACCTCAAAGTTAGTTTAAAGTAAAAAATCTACAATAATTTTACTTTGTGATGATTAATCGAATTTTTTTTTATATTAAGTTTGAAATAAAATATTTTATTTATGTACGTACCTGTGCTCCAAGACTTATTATTTACCTGGGACCCATACCCTTTTTTTGGAAAATGGTTTCTATTCTCACAAAGAGAACTTTTATATCTAACACTTTACTTTTCAATCTTCATAATGTAACTAACTTTACGAAACTTTACGAAAAATGAATTTTGATCAGACCCTGTCATTGTTATTATATTTGCGGATCCGAAGACAAACAGAAATACGAGAAGAACTACGAAGAGGGTGACGAATATATGCATCAACAAAACTGAAAGAAAGCTTTGATAGTATGTGGCGAATTTGTGGAAACTTCAAAATCATTATTATTATCTTTGGACAGCAATCAGGATTTACTAAGTACTCCTGTTTTCTCAGTTTATGAAACAGTAGAAATAGAAAGAATTGTCATAATAACTTGGTCTAGGAGATCTGAATCCAGGATTTTTAAACGATGCTCAAGCGCTTTTGCCAGACCCATCCAAGGTTCTGCTTCTTCTACTACACATAAAACTTGGATTAATGAATCAATTCATTAAGGCTTTGGATAAAGAAGATGAATGTTTATGGCAAATTAAAGATGCTGAACTGAGCGATAATAATATTCGACGGACCTCAAATTCGTAAAACATTACGTGGTAAAGATTTTCCATTGAAACACCGGCCAACAAAAAAAAAGTTATGTGAACATTACATGCTGCATATGATTTCCCGTGTATTTTTGTCTCCTGAGGGCGAATCCATAGTCTGTTTTGCTCCATCACCGTCTAGTCAAAAAATCGATGAAGATCTAAAAAATAGCAAATTTGTAGAAGTAACGAGATCTTCGTGACCAATAAAGAAAACGCAAAGAAGGTATCAGATTAAGTGGGGCATGAATATAATGGCGGATGTATGTTAAAAATGGAATGTAAGGTACAGAGGTAAAAAGAGAAAGATAAACCCACTAGATAAATCTTTTGAAGACAAAAGAGTTCACTATAAACGAAAGCGTTAATTTTTTACTTTATATTCATGAAATACCTTTTTTATGAATTGTGTGGCATGTTCTCGAAAACAGTGGACGCTGGTATCAAACTGACTTCAGATCAGTGTTCAGCGAATCCGAAAATATGGGAATATCATTATGGAATCCATTTTACGGACCAGCTTCTCCCACGACATCACTATCCTTAAATATATGCAAACACCTTATTTTTTTTTTGAAGATTTGGGGGGCTGGTTATGATCTCGAAAAAACTGACTTTAGATTTGTGTTTAGCGGATCCAACAATAACTGGGTTTGTTTGTTTTAAATTCACAAATAAAAATACTTCGTACAAATTTTAGGGCGCCCAACAATTAAAAATTTTAAATATTTACATGGGAAGTATTGACAAGACAATTAGGAAATGCTGATAATTTAAAAGAGGTGAGGGTTGCTTTCGCTGTACAGACGTTGTACTTAAAAATGGGTCACTTGCAACATGTGTACCCACAGAGGAAACTGATGTAGTTTATATTTTCGCATACTGGATTTCTTTTAATCTACCTAGAAATCTTTTTGGTTAAATTTGAGTATGCATCCTGATTAAAGAAATGTCTTGATAGTCATTATAATCATTTATATTTTCTATTTCCATCTCCACTAACTGAACATCCCATTACACCTTCAATTTTTCGAAATATTTTGAAAATATTCTTTATTCGAAAAAGATTTAAAGAACTAAATATTCAAAATTCGATACCATTCTCATGTACGCAAAATAAAAATAAACTATAAAATAACTATTAGTTTTGTTTTATGGATCTATACTCGTGCCTATATAACTTAGGGACAAAAGACCACTATATCTAAAGAACGAGATACTAGATACTGACCCTCGCCCAGACCTAAAAACGATTCTAAAATCCCCAAAACCTTCATCCCCTCGAACAATCTGATGGAATTTAATAATGCCTCCGACGAAACATTCAATCAAACCGGCCTCGTATGGGCAGTAGAAACCAGTAACAGCTCTGGACACCATTACTGACCGTCGCAATAGAATTTACAGAGAAAGACTGGTCACTACGTTCCTGGTCAGTTGCAGACAGAAATTTAATTGCCTTTAAAAATTAAAAGTAATTCGTTTTTTGAAACATCGGCGACGATCTCATAAACGTCCTCAACGGACTTGCGTGGCGTTGCTTTATACCAAGAACACAGAAAGGCGAAGAGGTCCTTCATAATTCAAAGCTTGGCGACAGCATAGCTTTCCATAGCGCCAGCACTGTTGCCAACTACGCCAATTTTCCTGAATAAAATTCAAACGTAAAAGAATTTTCTCGAGTACAATTAATTAAATGTATGTGGTTACAATTTTAAATATAATTTAGTTAACAGTCATGCAGAGTAAATGCGCTACTATTTATATTTACAAGTTCAGATGATTCAAATCGTTCTATTTATATTGCAGAGTATTTGGCAACATCTTCCATTACACATTACAGTAGAAGAGTTGAAGTTTGTTGTAGATAAAGTGTACACTTGTTGAAGTATTCATAACACATGAAACATGAAACAACGACAATGTGTATATTAAATAGTGATAATTCGTAAATTTATTAAAATTTATTGAAAGCAACACACCTATAGTTAAATATTAAATATAAGTAGGTATTAAACTTTAGATAAGTGAGTGAGTGACTTGTTCTATTTTTATTTAGACAGCCACAAGTGCTGCTACGTTTCAAATATGATACCCATCATTTAGTGTAGCGAAAGGCTTGGTTTCATATTGTACACATTTATTATTTGTTAGAAATTTTATTCATATTTTGCTCATAATTTATGTATATAAAACGGTAAGAGTTTGGTTTTAACATTAAAAATACTTTCTGTACATTCTGCGGTCCTGTGAATGGAGCCCTCTTAGTTATGAATTATGAGAATTTGTATAAACATTTTTCGTTCTGTTTCACAACTTTTATCCAATAAACGTCATATTTTATGATAGACGGCAAATTTTAAATTGTCACTGTTACACATACATATTTATTTGTTTAATCAATTGTTATCAATTTAAAATGTTAGTAAATTTTTATTTTATGGGTACAGAATGAATATCCAAAATATCGGCGCTGTTTGTGTAACTGAGACAGTAAATTAAAAATAACACGCAAAAAATCAATAAACATTCATTAATTATGCACATATATTATAATAATCAAAAATATTTTGGTGTTTTCATAACTCACTTCATCGCACAGTTAGTTAAATCCTTAGAATAAATTAAATTCAACAAATGGATAATAATAATTTAACAATTTAATTATAATCGACTCCGTTTTTTGTCACTTCGCTCCAATCAATCAGACAAATTACAACACCTGTACTCCGCACATCAAGTTATCAAATTCGAGCTCCAGATTAACGGGGCAACATAACCTTATGGAAGTATAATAAAGTCTCCGAAATAGTTTCCCCAAATTCAACTGGATACATTCGACGCGTTCACACCACGCATTTTCTGTCCTCCTGTTACTTAGACCGCCAAATTCGCGCCCAAACAGACTGTTGTGGATCACGTGGCGCGATATTCGCAAAGCTTTTTTAATTAAATTGTATAGAGACATCTTTTAACGAAGAACTAAAGTACGAAGTATGTAAAAAATGGAAAACTCGACAGCTATGAGTACCATTACGTGTAATTAAAGGCGTGAAACAGAGATGGCGCCGTCATACAAAATTTTATGTTGCTATTTCATCATCATTACCTGCCAAAAAAGCAAAAAAGCAAAGTAAACAAATAATGACCGACGTATTGTAGTAATTTGAAGTTAGATGTGTTGTTCTTAGACAGAGAATTTATTAAATAATAGAGATAAATAGATCAGTTGCTTATTAATTTGAGTATGATTTCTCTTCCCAGCAGTTTACTGCTGTAAGCATAGCACCAAATTAGGTATGTTGGTATGTCTCACCCTAAATAGTAAATAATAAATGTCATAGTTGGAATTAATTAAGTAAAGTTCGCTTCCTTTACTGAGAGGCACTAGTGCATTGTTACAAATTTGGAGCCAAAAGCCAAACGCCTATGACATCTGTTGTCAAAACACTTATTTTCTGGAATTTCTTAATTTCAAAGGTAAATTAAAAATAAATTCCAAATCCAAAAATGATTGACTATTATCTTATCCCAAGTTCCGAGTGTATTTCGGATTTCACTCATCTTTTTGTCCTACGAAGCCATTTGCAGAGCCCCTACTCGCGTAGAACATAGCCAAAAGTGGTTGCCGATGCTCAAAGATCGATGCCGGCTATCCAAGGAAAGCAGAAGACAGAGCTACTATGACCGGGATCGAACGTCTACTCTGCAGTTCTATAACTAGAGCAGAAAACTCTAGTCGGTGTGTATGTGTGCGAATTCAAGCATATTGATTGACTTTCGATGCCTTGAAATTCCAGGATATACTGAGGGTTCCGTACGACAAGTCCAAAAAACCTAAAAATATATATATTTTTGTAATTAGCTGAATGAATTCTAACTTTCATCATATAATTGTATTTTATTTTCTAAAAATTCAAAACTGAGGTGGATTTTTCGCTTGTTCGCGCGGTGTCAATGTTGGCTTTGTCGTCAGCACCGTCGTTTGTTGACATCATCTGCTACAGCTGATGGGAGCGTAAACTTCTTGTAGAATGTTTCATGAATTATATTCGAAACTGAAGTGAATTTTCGAACAAAGTACCGTAGATTCACAAATTTAATATATAAAATACCAATACAAATTCTTATGCAACAATGAAAAATTTAGTAGGAACATATTTACAGATGTTTATTATGTGGAAGCTAACATATTTGCTCGGCTTTTACTTATGCTAGCTTTTAACTGTTTTTTTTACGGATGACGTTAAACACTCCACATCCCTGAATTTATTACAAATAAAAACCCCCCACATACCCACATAACTCCAGAGATATCCAAGAAAAGTATTTT